TTTCTAGATTAGGTTCTTGTATGGCTAATGTGGGGCTCTTAAACACGGAAAAATGGCGGATGCGAGTCTCTTAGATGCAGAATTCCAAGGGGGGCTGAATGTGCGATTCAACAGAGAGCCGGTCCAATTGGATCGACCAACCAATCCTTAATCAAAACCCTATTTTTTTTGTTTGTCGCTCAAAGGGGAAGGCCTCCCCTTCCTATCCTTAGCTTATCTTTGTGTTTTTTTGCTTGCTTACGGTTAGATTTTGATTATTCCAAATTTCAATTTGCTGTCTGTGAGGCATTTCTCCCTTTCGAGGGATGTATCTGACGACGAAGTGGTGATCCGGCTGTAACTCGTTCAAGGTGGTGACTGTCTCCCAGGGCTCAGGTGGTTCTTCGGCTGTAACTCAATCCCACCGAGATTTTTATACTTTAAACTCCCTTCCCCTATTTTCCTACTGCCTGCCTAAGCCCCCCAGTCCATGCTGTCGCCGCAACCCAAACAACAACCCCATCTGCTGCTGTAACACCTCTCCAGCTTCTTAGCCTGCTATGCTTGACCTTTAGCCTTCCCCTTCCACTCAACTGCCACCACCATTCCCCCTGCCTTCCCGCTACCGTCGGCTCTTGGGTTGCCGACAAGCTCTTTCATCCCTCTACTGTACCCACAACATCCAACCAGTCCCTCCACCTACTATCCAGCCACCACTCAACACCACCATCCTCCGCCAAGGTGTTGTTTGTCATTTATTTATGTTTTGAAGAGTTTTGTTGTAACTGTTTGAATTTTAAGCAATAATATTCTCATTTCTATCGTGGTTTGGGCTAACTCCGATATTATTTTGTATCAGAGCTAGCCTAATCATAGTTTTATTTTACGTTTCTTAGCATTTACCATAAATAAAAAGTTTTCTTTCCTACCACCAAATACCCTTTTCACTTCCACAAATCCCAAAACCTAATCATGTCATCTTGGAGACACATGCCCAAGCCTACCTGAGAAGAGATACAACGAGAAAACCGCTGACTTAAGTGGAGATTGACGGACATTGAGGATGACACCTCGGAGGATTTACCTCGATGGTGATAGGGAAAGCTGAAAAGGATAAGGGATGAAAATTTCAACGCCTTCCTAAGGGAGGATGTCAACAATGAAGCTAAAAGGCCACGACGTTTCAAAATTCAGTATCAGAGGAGGCTTAGAGAGGAGGCGTCAGTTGGAGGACATTAAAATTACGGAATCAAGGTGTACTACCAAAATTTGAGGGAGGTATAGATCTAGAAGAAGTTATTGATTGGCTACATACTGTAGAACAAATTTTCGATTATAAAGATGTGCTAGATGATAAGAGGGTCAAATTAGTTTCCATCAAGTTGAAGAAAACTACTTTCTTGTGGTGGAAGAACTTACAGAGACAAAGGAAAAGAGAAGACAAATGTAAGATTGACAAGTGGGAGAAGATGAAGAAAACCATGCGGAAGAAATATCTTCCACCTCATTATCACCAGGACATGTTTCTGAAGCTACATAATCTACAACAACTAGATCTTTTCGTGGAAGAGTTCATAGCTCAGTTCGACCATTTACAGGTGAAATGCAAGCTGATTGAGGTAGATGAGCCCATTGTAGCCTGGTACCTTGGGGGCCTAGAGCCCGCTATTAACAATATGGTGCAATTGCAACCATATTAGTCATTTGGGGATGTCCAGACGTTAGCACTGACAGCGCAAAGACAACAAAAATAAAGTAGACAACCACCATCAGTTAGGAAGCCACCCACAGTCGGAGATGACAGTTGGAGCACACCTTAGGGAGTTGAGAAAGTTGGTTGGGATAATGATAGAGCCACTCCTAGTGAGAAGAAGCCTTAAAAGAGTAGCATGCCTGCTACAGTCTCTGCCAGAAAATATTTCAAATGTCATAGATGTGGGCATATTGACTCTAGATGTTGATGAGTTGTGTCTTTTACAGAGCAGGCCACTGGGGAGGTGGTTAGCGATGAGGAGAAAGCTGTGGAATAGGGTGAGATGTACCATCTGCCACCAAGTGAAGGAGAGACACTTGTGGTTTGACAGATTCTATTATTTGATATAAAGGGTCCGTAGTGGCTTTGCCACAATATATTCTCCATTCACTGCGTGGTAAATGAGAATATATGCAGTTTCATCATCGATGGAGGGAGCAGTAAGAATGCGACATCTACGCAAATGCAGAGAAGTTGAGTCTTATGACTCAGAGACACTCCGAACCATATTCTCTGACGTGGCTAACGAAGGAGAACAGGGTTAGCATTGACCGGAGGTGCCTAGTGGAGTATTCGATCGGGAGGCAACTACAAAATCACGTGTGGTGTGATGTGGTCTCTGTGGATGCTTGCCACCTTTTGTTGGGGAGACTGTGACAGTTTGACCGGAGAACTCAGCACGACGAATTTAGAAAGACATATTTCATTTCAAGGATGGGAAGCAAATCATCCTACTTCCTTCGGCGGAGTTCGAGATCACAAGAACCCTTACTAGTAGATCCGCATTAGTGGGACCAGTTTTGGTGACGATAACAGATGATGGGATTGGCACTAGCTCTAGAAACGAAACATATACGACAGAGGGCATTTTAGGATATCAGGGTTGTAAATTTACCAACAACGCCACCACAATGCAGGAAGGTTCAGGTTACCCCCAATTCAGATCTGATTAAGCCGACTGTGGTTGACCGTGAGGTAGGACATGCAGTTCAACTCAGTAGTAGACTCCCAGATGATTCGATCAATGCAGATGTTTTCTTGCGAGTTCGGAAAGATCCTTAGGTGTTTTGGAAGACAGTGTATTCCCCAGCAGGATCTTGGAGATTTGCAGACTGCAGTCATAGAGTCCTCAACACCGGGAAGTACGACAACTCCATCACCAGAAACAAACAGGCAGAAGCTTCGACGAATGAGGTTGAAGGTCTCCTAACCCCTTGAGACTGACGCGGAAAAAGGGCAGATGTGAGGCTCTCAGACATGTGATCGTCTCAAAGGGTCCGGGTGGTTCTTTGGCTGTAGCTCGACCCTGTCGAGATATTTATTCTTCCAAATCTCGTCCCCTTTTTTTCTGTTTCCAGCCTAAGCCCCTTTCCATGTTGCTGTCACAATAAAAAAAACAACCCTACCTGCTGCTATAACACCTCTCTGCCTTCCCATCCTGCTGCCACCTGACCTCCAACCTTCTAGTCAGCTGCTGCTGCCCTTCCCCTTGCTTTCCTGCTACCGCCGGCTCTCAGTTCTGCCTTCCAGGACTATTAGCTAGCCCTTCGAACTGTCCACTGTTCCCGCAACATCCAATCTATCCCTCCACCTACCATCTAACAACCACCCAACACCGCCGTCTTCCCTTGGTGTTATTAATGTTTTTTGTCATTTATTTATTGTTTTGAAGAGTCTTATTGGGATCACTTTCTGTTTTTTATTTTTGAAAATTAAAAATAGAACAAACCCAAAAATAACATTTCTTTATTCATTTTTTTGTTTTATATTTTAAATTTTTTTTTAAACACATGAGGTTTGTTTTTAAAACATAAAAAAACATAGTTGTTTTAAAAATATTTTTGAAGCATTACCTGTGCGAGGCTCCGCCACCGGCCGCTGCCCGTCTATGCACGCCACACGCCACATGCTAGCTGCTGATCTCCGACCTCTATTAGTCGTCGTTGCCGCCGTCGACCCCTACCAGTCGTCGCTAACGCCGTTGTTACCCGTCGCAGTCGCAACTTGGAGCTCGGCCTCTTCCCCCCCGCCGATGGCCCTCACTAGCCGCTGCCATAGGTCATCAGTCACCACCAGCGGCCACTGCTCATTGCCATTGGCCCCCGCCAGCCGTCACTCGCCCACAGGTAATACTTCATGCTGGGTGAAGCAAAGAAGACATTGTACATGTCATGAGCGGTAGAGCTTAATACTAGAGCGCACCTTGACCTAACTGTTTTATAAAAAGTTTAGTTTTTCTTAAAAAAATAAAAAAATACCCAACCAAGCATATTCTATATTTTTTATTTTTAAAATAACATAAATCATATCAGTATCAAACATGTTTTCTAAAAACAGAAAATAAAAAATAAAACAAAAATAAAAAATAGAAAACAGAAAATGATCCTAAATAGACCTTAAGTTTTTAAGAGATTCAAGTCCTAGAGCTCTTTATGTTTCCCACAAGAGTGGCCTAAATTCGGATCTGCATTTTTTATTTTTGAGGTTTTCATTATTTGGCTGGCCCATAACTTGGGTCTTCTAGAAGATCTATCCGACCAAACCCAAACCCAAACCCAAACCCAAACCCTGGCCTCCCACACCTTTTTACACTATTTGGAGCTTCTTAAACCAAAAATACTCGATCAATCCAAAAAGAGGTTGCCCGCCGCATCTAACCCTTCAATTTCTTGGATAAGTTTGCCAAAGATGATATTGATGATATCTTTTGTAGTTTGGTCATTTTGACTTCCCATGCCTGTGATGTCCATTCTGGCACAATGTGTCAAGGTTTCAGCCATAAAGTGTCACTTGAACTCTTGGCCATGGCTCTCTTCATTATTGTTGGTTTCTGACATAAGTGGTGCAAAATGCAGTCAAATGGTGAACTATTTTGTAAATGAATCACCTACAAAGAGAAGCTCATAATGTCTCTTCCTTTAATCGAATGAATCTAAAATTTTATTAACAAATCAGTTTATGAGCGACCAAGCTTGCGATAGAGCTAATCTACATCCTACAAATCAGAATTCGGTTTTTGATTCTTGACTTGTCTTTGCAATTAGTATTACTTGACATCATTAGCCTTATCTGAACCATTTGGGATGGGCAGGCATGATTTTAAATTTTAAAGAAAAATATGAGGTAGAGATTTGAACTGTAATCTTGCATGGGAAAAGCTTAGGCCAATCTAACTTTCTTATTTTTTTTGTGGAGAGTCGTTTTCACCGAGATTGTTGTAACAGCAAAAGAAGGAGGTCTGCTTATGTAAATTTCCTTTTCTATGCAGATGTTTTCGAGATGAAGATCTTAGAGCTGATAGGCAGCCCGAGTTTACACAACTTGACATGGAGTTCTCATTCACAACATTAGAAGACATCTTAAAACTTAATGAAGACCTGATAAGACATGTTTGCTCTTGTCATAGAGTTTTTTCTCTACTTTTCTTATTTATTCTCGCCTCTAAAATAATTTTTAGTTAAAATCCTTGTTTTGGCAGGTTTTTCATGAGATGATCGGAATAGAACTTCCAAACCCTTTCCCAAAGTTAACTTATGTGGAAGCTATGAGTCGGTATGGGTCTGATCGGCCAGACCTCCGGTTTAACCTTGATTTAAAAACTGTGAGTTCCAACATGTGCTTTGGACCTTTTCTTATGGACGCTTCCTTATGAATATTTATGGTAATGGCTTGTAGTTTGTTTTGGTAGGGCAAATTATGTTCTCGGGATTGAATTTTCTATTACCGAATGTGATATGCCGTCGTACAGGCATAGGAAGGCTTGGAAGGTACCATACTTGCTTAGGTTAGAAATAGCAGTAGAGAGTGTGTTTGGATGCATGTCTAAAGAAAGGGGGATGATAGAGGTGGAGGTGGTGGAGGTAGCGGAATGCAAAGGGTGTAAGGCAGATATTAGCCATCTCACATAGCCTTATGAAGCATAATTTCAAAAGGAAGAATACTGGCAGAAAATTCCAAGCAGCGGAAGGATACTGATCCATTCACTATCCTTAAAGAATAGCCTCTATATTCTTGAATAGAAAGGTCCCCTATGATAAAGTACAAAAATGTTTCTAATACGCAAATAAATAATAAATAGCAGTGAAATGATACTCGACTCCTTAATAACAAATCAAATGACATCCAATACCTTGAAATTCAAATTCATGAAATAACTTCTAAAGCAACACATAAATAACTAGTTTCATGGTGAGCCAAATCCGAAGGATGTTCTGGATGACCACTGCATTGAGTAGGTGGCTTTGCAGTTGTCTCAGTCACATAAGTTGAAAACAGTTTATAAGTGCTATAAAACAGACGTGTTTCTTTGAATTCAGACTAGTTTGCTAGCACCTGCTTCTAGATTAATCCATGTGACTAGTTTGCATTGTGTTTAACATAAACCATATGTAGCATTTACTAACAGGCTCATTAATTGGGTAAAAAAAATTAAGTTGCATATTTCATTTAAACTGTTGCCGTGAGATGGAAACATAGGTGACAATGCCCAAGCTTTGTCAACTTGGTCCAACCCATTTATTCAGCAGTTGCTTTTTCATGCTCGCTAATTGTATTAACCTAACATGACAACCCATTGTTTTTCTCACCCATGGATGCCAATTTATTACTCTTGTTTATTAATTTTCATACACGGGAGAGTGATTCTATTCAAGTTACATTGTAAAGATAAAAATATATATTTTTAATTATTTGCTACTCAAGGAGGTTGCCGCTGTTACCTTGTGAGCTAGAACATGCTGATTGAATTTATTTTGGATATGCATATTACTTTTGGTGACATGATGGATCATCCTTTTATTGTGGGCTCAAGTTGCATGACATCATTACATCATTTCAGCTTGGATTGTTTGGTGATGTAAACTGAAATTCGTTAGTAAAGTCAAACTTGATGTCGAATAAGATGGCTAGTTTTTTATGAGTATTATTGTAGAAAATTGAAGATAGTTCAGAAAGAGATTATACAATAATAAGTTGATTTGGTGAATTGAGAAGGTATACTAAATTATTAAGAAAATTATATGCATTTTTAAAATGTGATAAAAATTGAATATTATAATAAAATAGAAGTATTGTAAAGGAGTAGTGAATAATGGAAAAGTTGGTCTTGATGATCTATATAATAACCTGACACTAAAGAAGTATAATGGAGATATTTGGAATAAATACAACAAGCAATAAGGAATCTAAGAGTTTTGATCAAGTTAGATGCATTAAAAATAAAATAGGATTTTATATGAAGTGAATACATCAATGACTGATAGAAATTATTATTTTGAGGGATTAGTAAATGAGCGACTTAAGAAAGAAATTATTTTGGAATATTATAATGAACAATGTAATGAAAATATATTTGATTGATCCAAGAAAGCGAAGCTGAACTATCTCTAAAAAATATATAAAAATAAGGCTTCAAGTCCAAATAAGATGCCTTTTGAAATTTGATGAGTTATGTGAAATATATTGCATTAAAAAATGGTTAGTAAAATTTTTCTGTTGAATTTTGAAAACTAAAATGATAGCAATTTATAGAAAAAAGTTTTTTGATATCAATATATAAGAATAGAGATAATGCTCAAGATTGTGTAACTATAGAGGAATTAAACATATGATTTATATAATGAAGCTATGTAAGAGTGTCGCTGAATATGGGCTTAAAAATTACTGAAATTTTGGATAATGAATATTATTTCTTGCCAAAAAGTTTATTATTTAAGCAATGTTTATTAAGATAAATATTATGTAAATATATAAAACTAAGAAGTGATTTTCATATGATTTTTATTGATTATGAGAAGCACATGATCAAATACCATAATAATTAATATGGTGCACGCATAAATTAAAAATGTATGTCAAATGTATATTGACATTATTAAAAAAATATATGACGAAGCATTGGTTATTATTTGAAGTAGTTTTTGTGTGACCCAAGAGTTTCTAATCAAGGATCACATTGAATCTATATCATTTTATATAAGTTATGGTGCTTAAAGTGTGGTGCTTTTATGTATGCTTTTTTAAATTTTATAGTTTTCATTGGTGAAATATCCATTAAAATATTTTAAAAATTAAAATAATGGAGGAAATATTTAGAAAATTGAGGTTTTTGAGTTAGTAAAAAATATTTTGAGTGCATGTTATTATTTTAATGGGTATTGTATTAATAATAATTATTTAATAATATTATTAGAAGATATGATGATACCTATATTTGATAGATTTAACTATCTTAGATCTATTTTTTAAAAATGAAGATATCAATGAGGATAAAACTTCTAGTGTTAAGGCTGTTTTCTTAAATAGAGAAATTCTCAGGAGTTTTGTATGATAAAATAATGTCATAGGAGCTTAAAGACAAATTTAATATAACTGCAATTAGACTAACGATGTTCCAAAGATCTGAATTTCATGTTGTAAGAACATTCGAATATATAAATTGAGTGTGAGAAAAACAAATATATTAAAATTGTTGTGTCAAAACTAGGAAGTATAAATTCATGAATTGCTTTATTAGAAGAAATCCGAGAGGGCGACTGAAAATGAATATTGGTGGGTTGGCTATTTTCTTTTGAAAAAATAGAATTGAGATTTTTGCCATTTTTATAGGGTATAGCATTAATTTTATTTAAGAAATAATCTATTAATTAGATTTTTTTTGTGGGAAATGCAGGTCACGGACATTTTCTTAGGGTGTAATTTTCAAGTTTTTGCAGAATCCATAACGAACGGTGAGATTATCAAAGCATTATGTGTGCCTTTGGGTGCGGAAAAATTATCAAACACAGCCCTCAAAAAGGGTAATATATATAATGAGGCAACAAAGGCTGGAGCTAAAGGTTTACCTTTCCTCAAGGTCCTGGATGATGGTATCCTTCTGCCATTTGATTTCACTTTAGTACTACAATTGACCTTCAAATTTTTTCTTGCTTCCAAAGTATATTGTTGGTTATTCTTTTGTGCTAAAATTTTATAGGAGAGCTTGATGGCTTTCCTGCTTTAGTTGCAAGCTTAGATCCGGTAAAAAAGGAGCAATTGATGAGACTTGTTTCAGCTAAGTCTGGAGATCTAATTTTGTTTGCGGTGGGCCATCAAGCTACTGTGAACAAGATCCTTGACAGGCTCAGATTGTTCATAGCCAATGAATTGGGTTTGATTGATACTGTAGGTCTTTAACTATGAAAATTCAAATCACAATGTTGTTAATTTGTTGACTAAAATGCTTGACTTTCACTTACATATCTTTTTGTTTATGATACTTTTTAAAATATTTTAGTAACAATAAATAAATTAATGTCAGTTAAATAAGACTGAAAATGTTTCTTTTGTTTGATGTTATGATATTTGCTAAGGGTTATTTACAAATAAGGCAATGTTAAAAATGTAGTCAAGCTTTATTTATGTATTATATTCGTTAAGGGTTGGATGAAGGAGGAACTTATATCTAGAATTCTCATTTGATATTTTTCTTTTTCCACAACTCTTCTGTTTATTGATTCTTTTTTTTGCCAGTTCTCCCATTCAATTCTTTGGGTAGTGGACTTTCCAATGTTTGAGTGGAACTCTGAGGAACAAAGACTTGAGGTCAATTATTCATCTTTATTGTATATTTTTATTTTGGATAAATGTAAATCCTTTATCTGTTGATAAACGCAGTGGACCATCCATGAGCTTTCTAAAATTAGTAAGGTGTACTGCCTGTTTATCGACAGAAGAGTTGTTGGTTACCTTAAGGATGTTATTCCCTTAATGAATCATTAGCATTTTTTGTTGGTTACTTCTGCCTGTTTATGTCATGTAAGACATATATTTCCTGAAGCAATATCTTTTCTACTTTTAGTAAAATTGATTGGTTATTCCTACTACTGATAATTCATGCATCCAGGAATTTTCAGTTGAAATTAAATAACTTTATACTTCGTTATGCATGCATGAAATATTTTTAAAAGACCATTCTGGTTTCCATTATTTCAATTTTAGTAATGATGAATGATAAAATAATTGGAAGTTAGAGCTATTATTTATTTGATTTATTCCCTAGAATGTATTAATTGGATGAATATTATATAATCATCATCAAGCAAGCAACAACTATTCTAGCCCAATTCACCAAGTCTGAATTGAGACGCAGTGGCAGTGTTGTAGTTTCAAAGAACCATACGGAATTTTGTGACTGAATAGGATAGTTTTAAAACGTGAAAAGTAATGTCAACAAAAATTTCCTTTTATTTATCTACTCCATTTCCTTCCTATTTCTATCACATTATATCTTCTAAGTTGTACACGCCAGTATATCTTAATTCTATTTTTTAACTACCTCGTCTTCAGAAAGTACTACTCTCAATATCTCCCAAATACAAGTATTTCTATTATTTTCAGTTTTACCAAACATTCATCTATGAATATCCTTTCTCTGACACTCATTTTGGTTTCAAATTTTTCTTCAAAATAATTGGACTTAATATAGTTTTAGTAAATTTATCGCTAAGTGTAAGGTCTCTTACTATATTCATGCCCATGTAACCAAAATGAGTGTCAGAGAAAGGATATAGTAAAACTGAAAATAATAGACATGGGCATGAATATAATAAGAGACCAAAATAACATGGCCATGAATATAGTAAGAGACCTTACACTTAGCGATAAATTTACTAAAACTATATTAAGTCCAATTATTTTGAAGAAAAATTTGAAACCAAAATGAGTGTCAGAGAAAGGATATTCATAGATGAATGTTTGGTAAAACTGAAAATAATAGAAATACTTGTATTTGGGAGATATTGAGAGTAGTACTTTCTGAAGACGAGGTAGTTAAAAAATAGAATTAAGATATACTGGCGTGTACAACTTAGAAGATATAATGTGATAGAAATAGGAAGGAAATGGAGTAGATAAATAAAAGGAAATTTTTGTTGACATTACTTTTCACGTTTTAAAACTATCCTATTCAGTCACAAAATTCCGTATGGTTCTTTGAAACTACAACACTGCCACTGCGTCTCAATTCAGACTTGGTGAATTGGGCTAGAATAGTTGTTGCTTGCTTGATGATGATTATATAATATTCATCCAATTAACACATTCATTTATTTTTGGAATTCAATCATTTGTTTGGTTCAAATTAAAGTCCAACACAGCCTTTAGTTTCTCCATTTTAATAATCAAACAATCCCTGAAGTGCGCTTGGACCAATTCATTTTGAATTGTGTACATTAAGCTTGATTGGATTGGTTTCTTGCGGCCTTAAACTTCAATTCTTAAATATATGTCACCTTATTTATGCATGAAAAGATGTATTTCCCTTTTTAGAAGTTAAAATTAGTGGTATTTTTGATGTGATGTGAATGATTTTTCTGGTATAAATGTCAAATGTAAAGTATAGGTTTTAGATATGACTGATATGCAAATCCGTCTTTCTAATTTTATGATTGATACTTCTTTGAGATACAGGCTCTTCACCATCCATTTACCGCCCCGAATCCTGAAGACATGGATGACCTTCCTTCAGCTCGTGCTTTAGCCTATGACATGGTCTACAATGGAATTGAGGTATCCCTTATGTGCTTTTTTGGTCTCCGAGCTATGAAATTATCACACCTAGTTCATTACATCAAAGGACATTAACATCTTTTTTTAAATTCCTGAGAATTTGATGCGACTGTTTCCTGTTTCGAAAGGTTGCTTTCTTGAGTTTCTCTTAATCATTTTATGAAATATTTTCTGAACTAAATTTGAGGCAATTCTTTACCCTAATGTCTAATGATAAAAGATTATGTTTCTTGCAATGTACTGTGAATCTTTGATCAGTAATCAAGTGGATGAAAATTTTTTTGGGGCATTTATTTACATAGCACACAATTCTTATGTATTGCATTTCTCACACCTAAACTTACATATTTACAAACATAGCACTCAAATTCTTTAATATCACATAAAAATAACACTATTACCACATTTTAGAAGTGAAATTTATATTTTTCATGACTGTATTTAAAGCACCAAAGTTCTTTGTAAATATGAAAGTTTAGGTGTGAGATATGTAAATACATAAAAATTTTGCGCTACAAGGTAAATTTCCCAATTTTTTTTATTTAAATTTATTGAAGGTATTGAAATATATATATTGCTTGACCTCATTTTCAAAATTTAACAATAGATTCGATTATGTTTTCTTATTTATTTAGTGAGTTAATTAGTCAATTTTAGGTTATGTTAGCCTTCTCCATATGTCTACTCCCTTTTTTACCTTTTGACATTTATGCAAATTTGTGTGACTTCACTTGGACAAAAATCAATTTGCGCATGAATGCCCTTTTTTGGTGGTTTATTTTTCCTACTGCAATTTCTGGAGCCCTTGTCAATTTTAAGATGGTGAAATGGGCGCGCAAGGAAGCCGGGGAGCCATGTGAAGGGAGCCGCTGGATAGACTTCTGCGACTAGCCCTTCCACGTGGGTTTGGCCCCTCCTTCCCATAGGGAGATCCAATCCTATTTTTCTGGGGCTTATATATGTGATTCCCGTGTTTTAGTTTTTTAATTTTGTGTGTTTTGTATCGGGATAACTACCAACTTCTCTTCTTCCCTTCAAAAGCGGTATCTTAAGGTTTCAGTGGTACTTCGGCTGTATCTTGGTCTCCAGGTGGTGTGTATCCTCCCTATATCCTTCCATGTCCCTCCTGCTTCGTTGCCACGCCTCTCTCCTCGCTTCTGGCCGCCCGGACAATAGCCCGTTTGCTGTTTTTCTGCAGATTTCCTATGGTCCAGCCTTTTCTCCTCCCTGCCATTGCTGTTCCAGCCAACTACCTTTGCTGCCGCTGATGTACAGCCCTTCCTCTTTGCTGCCTTCACCATTTCAGCCCTCCATCCTTGCTGCCATCACCTCGAAAAATCCTCTCACATCTCTCACTGCTGTTTGTTTCCTGTTTGACACTGGGGAAGCAACCGCCTTGTTGTTTTTTGCTTGCCAAACACTTTTTCCACCGTTGCGCCACCTTCCAAACCCTCGTCGACCACCACCCCTGAATCTACCCCTAGTTGAGTTTGTGTTGTTGTTTGTTGCAATTTCATATTTCAATGCCTTTGATTGTAATTTTTTTATCGGATTTCAGGAATAATATTTATATTTGCTGCTCTTATATTTTATCTCCGTTATCAGATGGAATCATATTAATATAAGTCTTTTCATATGTTTATGCAATAGATTGGTGGGGGCAGTTTGAGAATTCATAAGCGTAAGGTTCAAGAGAAAGTCTTTGAAACTATAGGCATTCCACCTAGGCAGGTACAATTTCCACCTCAACAAAGTACTAGAGGTTATCTTAAGGAATGCCTTGTTTTTTACAGTTCTGTTGTTTTTTTTTCAAACAAGTTCAACATCTTTTGCTAATTCATGTTTATATATCTACTTGCATTTTTTATACTATTTTATTTGAGTAAGATACCGAAATAGTCTCTTAATTATTTATATGGGACTATTTGTCCTAGGTTCTATAAAAATGTTAAATTAGCCCTCATACGCCTTTACTATGGGGTGAAATAATCCTAGGAAGGATTATTTTAGCCTCCATTAAAAGTGTTTGGGAACTAAATCAACACTTATATAGAATCTGGGACTAAAATGATCCATGCAAAATGTCAGGAGGCTATTTTGACACTTTTCTCTATTTATTTGCGCTGGTTTGTCAAAATTGCTAGTTATTTGATTCCATTGCCATGCGTTGAGAAGGTGATGTGGTACACATGCTTTTATATTTGACTCTAAATACCTTCCAATTCATTTTGCTTGACTCATTACCTTTTTGCGGGGATCTATAACATTGCTTCCTTGATTCCATTAGCTAATCATTTTGTTTGTGATTATTATCTTTCTTTAACATACATACCATTGTAACCCTTTGATAAGAAGTTGATCATGTATTCTACAAATTAAAAGAAAGAAAATTGGAAGGGATACTTGCTCATATTAATGAATGTTTACACCATTTATGTGATATGAAACATATATATTTTTTAGTATGCCTATTATGTTGACTGAAAACTATGAGTTTGATCGCTGCTCTATCTAAACTTGTTCTTTTATTCTTAAGCAATAGAAAAGAGGAACATTGTTATGTTTCTACCATTCTTAAGACTAGCATTATTTTGACATTTCATTGATTATTATTTTAGATTACCTGGGGTTGCAAGTTCTTCTTGATAGTTCTGCTTTCTAAAATTTCTTGTTTTCATTTCTTATTTATTTTTTATATGTGGTGCACAATTAAGGTTGATATATTGTATGCATGATTTAAAGAACTTTTATGATTGTTTGATCTTTAATAATTTTTATCAGATTTTTTTCTTAATGTTTGCTTTGATTGAGTAAGAGCATAGTTGCACTTTTAAAGTATATGAGCTTTCAAATGGTTCAAAATTAAATAAATAGATTGTGGACATATTTGGTGATATGATTAGTGAAATGCAGGATAAAATTGAACTTTTAATAGTGTTTTCATGTCTTTTGATCATTTCTATTTTCTTCACAACGGTGATAAACATTTAAATTTAATGAGAGCTTATGAATGTTATTCCATAATTAATTTCTATGTTGTAGATAACAAATAATATTATTATCTGTCGGCGCTTAATAGGGGAAAAGAGTTTAATGTTTGGGGGTCGCCCGTAAGAAGCCGTCGGTCGCCGGAATCGAAATCCCGTCGCCCGCTTCGGAAGGACTTTTTAATTTACGTATATATATATAATTTTAGAAAAATATGAAATCAAACTGACCTCATATTTTCCATAGTTTAAATGAAAGAGCACTCAACCTCAAATCCTGTATCTACCCCAAGGGATAAACACAAGACTTGAGGGTGAGGCTCGATCAAATAAACTAAGAAAGATATGACATCCGTTTGGGTCTGCGAAACCGTTTTATTTGCCGACAAGTTCCCCTATTTAATACAAAAAATTAAATAGGATTTATTTTAAGCTGGGTTCGGAAAAACCCCCTATAAGGGCAAGCCCCTATAGTTAATTACATCTCAAATGACCGAAGTC